GATAAATAGGCCAGAGTAGCACACCCAAATGAGGAATATGTCACCTCCAAAATACAAAGAGGCCCACTAAGTATCGTGCCTCCTTTTTAGTTGTGGCAGCGGCCAGATGCAATAACTTATCCTTCACTTTAGAAGGAATGTCTCAACATGTCCCACACCACCGACCCCTGGAAATTTCACTGAAGTGGAAGGTGCCTAAATTTTGGGAGATTACCTTTCCACCCTCTAACACACAAATATTTTACCAGTAAGTCCAGAGTCATTGACACTTCTTCCTTACTAGGTCCAATAAGCATAATGTCATCAATATAATGGACCAGTGTGATGTCTTGTGGAAGGGAAAGGCGATCAAGCTCCCTGCGGACTAAATTATGACATAGGGCTGGAGAGTTGATGTAGCCCTGAGGTAGGCAAGTGAAGGTGTATTGCTGGCCTTGCCAGCTGAAGGCAAACTGCTTCTGATGGTCCTTTGAAACAGGTATGGAGAAAAAGCCATTAGCGAGATCAATAGCTACATACCAGGTACCAGGAGATGTATTAATTTGCTCAAGCAGTGACACTACAACTGGAACAACAACTGCAATTGGAGTCACCACCTGGTTAAGTTTTCAATAATCTACTGTCATTCTCCAGGATCCATCTGTTTTTTTTTTTGCTCAGGCCAAATAGACAAGTTGAATGGGGATATGGTAGGAATCACCATCCCTGCATCCTTCAAGGAATCGCTGCAATCCCTCCAGGAATGCAGTATTGGTTTTGGTTTACTATTTTCCTAGGTAGGGGAAGTTCTAATGGCTTCCACGTGGCTTTTCCTACCATAATATCCCTTACTCTATTTGTCAGGGATCCAATGTGGGGGTTCTGCCAGTTGCTGAGTATATCTATTCCAATTATGCATTCTGGAACTAGGGAAATCACTACAGGATGGGTTCAGGGACCCACTGGACCTACTGTGAGACAGACATGAGCCAAGACTTCACTAATAATCTGACCTCCATATGCCCCCACTTTGAATGGTGGGCCACAGTGACGTTTTGGGTCTCCTGGAATTAGTGTCAGTTCAGAGCCAGTATCCAGTAATCCCCAAAAAGTCTGATTATTTCCTTTTCCCCAGTGAACAGTTACTCTCATAAAAGGCCATTGATCCCTTTGGGGAAGGCTGGGAAAAAGATTAACAGTAAAAATTTTTGGCAGTGTATTAGAGTCCTTCCTCAAGGGGACTTGGCCTCCCCTTCATTTAAGGTGTTGTGGGTCTTCAAACTTGCTCAATTCTGGGAATTGATTGAAGGACGGTGACTCTCTATTCTGGTGATTTGAGTTAGACTGCTGTTCACCTGATCTACAATTCATCTGTTTGTACAGCTCAAGTAAACATTTAGTAGATTTCCTATCTATTTCACTCCTAGGGACACCATGGCTAAGTAGCCAATCTCATAAATCCATATGACTCAGACTATTCTAATTACTGCTTTGACTTTTCTCTCCATTACAGTAACCATGCCCACTTGTCTTTGTCGATTAAATGCCACCACTTGGCCCCTACCACCAAGGGGTCCCTTCAGCCCCATGGTAGTTAGGTGTCTTAATTCAGTTAGGGCAGCTCCCACTGTCAAATCTGACTTACATAAAATAGCAATCACAGGAGTCTTCAAGGATGCTGGAGCTCCCTTCACAAATTTGTTCCTCACAGTTGTGGTAAAAGGTGTGTCCTCTGGGCACTCCATGTGTGGGTCTGCGGTCTAACTTGATAAGTCCACTCTTGTATACCTATTTCCCTAAGCCTTTGGATATCTTCTTCTACACTATACCAAGGCAGCTCTGGCACTTCAACTTGATTTAGTGTAGGCCACCTTGTAATCCATGCTTCAGCAACCCAACCAAATAAACTATTAGATTCTTTCCTAACTTCTTGAGCTGAAACACTGAATGAACAATCTGTGCTTAGTGGACCCATATCAAAAACTCAGACTGATCCATCTTTATGTTCCTTGCACCATTATCCCACACCCTTAATAGCCATTCCCACACATATTTCCCAGGTTTTGTTTGTACATACTAGAAAAGTCAAGTAGTTCTTTTGGAGTGTAACGTACCTCCTCCTGGGTCACACTTTGTACTTCACCTTTTGGGGTTCACTGGGACTTAAGCCTTGTTATAGGTCTAGAAGCCAGAATGGGAGTGGAGGGGCTAACGGTTTTTCTGAGCAGCATGGTTTAGCAGACAAACATGAAATAATCTCTTCAGCTGGGACTGGTTCTGCTGGCAGGACTGATTCAATGGAATTTAGGGGCTCAGTGTCCTTAGCTTCCTGATTATCAGCCCATACGTCCCCATCCCAAGATTCAGGATCCCATTTCTTCCCAATCAATGCCCTTACTTTAACTTCAGATACCTCTCAAGGTTGTCAATTGAGCTGGCATTGTAACTCAGCCACTCTTACAATAAGACTCTGGGTTTGGTTTTCGGCAATTTCAGCTCTGTTACTACAATAAGGCTTTCTTTCAGAGCACAAGTGGAAGTCTTCAGGTCATGTATGCAGCACTTGAGCTTTAACTCTGAAGCCCTGAGCGCATTTCTTTCTTCCACCAGTTTGTCTAGTGAAAGCAGGACAAACCAACCAGCTTCCTTACACTTCTCATTCTGACAAAGCTGTAGAAAGATATCACACATGTGTTCACCCCAAGCCTTGCCTTTCACCAATACCTGATTTACTGGTGGTGATATTTTGTGTAATTGTATTGCCACCTCATGCCATGGACTAGCAGTGCCCTCGTTACTGCTGGATGCAGAGTCATCAACATCTTTAAGACTAACCAGACTTGAGAACCAATTCAGAAAACTCATCCTTACAATTTTGTTTCTCTAGAACCACTCTTGGTACCAAATGTCTTAGGCTGGGTTCTCTAGAGAAGCAAAACCAGTAAAGCATATAAATATATATAGAGAGAGACTTATATCAAGGAAACAGCTCACATGATCATAGAGGCTAGAACGTCCCAAGTCTGTGGATCAGTGTAGAGGCCTCTCCCAATTCACGTAGATACAGAAGCTGGCAAGCCCAAGATCAGCAGATCGGAGAGCAGGGCTCCCACTCACAGGCTATGAAGATCGACGAATCCCAAGTTCGGCAGATAAGCTGACAGCTCAAGTCCCAAGAACCGGAGGTCAGGCAAACAGGAGGCAGCTGCAGGATCCAGAGCAAGCAAAAAGCCAGAACATCTGCTTATATTCAGAGGCAGGCCACACCCCCAGAGAAACTCCCTTTCCACTGATTGGCTACTCACAGTACATTCAGTCATGGGAGTGATCACATATAAACACTTAGAATCATGGCCCAGCCAAGCTGACACACACTCTCAACCATCACAGCTACACACAACAATTAAAAGCAAAGATGTCACCTTGAGGACTAAGGTGGGCCTGACCCAAGCCATGCTATTTTCAATCACCTCACATGCGTGCGAAAGCTGGACAATGAATAAGGAAGACTGAAGAAGAATTGATGGCTTTGAATTATGGTGTTTGTAAAGAATATTGAATATACCATGGACTGCCAGAAGAGCAAACAAATCTGTCTTGGAAGAAGTACAGCCAGAATGCTTATTAGAAGCAAGGATGGCAAGACTTCATTTTACATACTTTGGACACGTTATCAGGAGGGATCAGTCCCTGGAGAAGGACATCATGTTTGGTAAAGTAGAGGATCAGTGAAAAAGAGGAAGACCCTCAACAAGATGGATTGACACAGTGGCTGCAATGATGGGTTCAAACATAACAACGATTGTGAGGATGGCACAGGACCGGGCAGTGTTTCATTCTGTTGTACATAGTTTCGCTATGAGTCACAACAAACTCCACAGCACCTAACAACAATAACAACACACAACAAAATGGATGAACCTTACCATCATATTAAGTGAAAGAAGCAATATACAGAAGAATAGGGTTTGATTTCTTTTATATTCTTCATATGAAGAATAGAGTTTGACTCCTTTTATTCCTTTTATATATTTCTTTTTATATAGAGACCTCAAGTTCTGTTTTACGTGAGGTCAATATGAGTCAGAACCAACTCAACGGCACCTAACAGCATCACCCAGTGCAAACAAGGACAATATGTATACACTTTACTCTGAATCAATTTGTAATTCCATAGTATTTTCACATCTTCTATCATAGTTATATATCCTTTTCATCACATACCTTTACAGCAATTTTCTTGTCGAAATCAGGAAAGTGAATTATTTTATTTAGCTTGGACACGTACAGTATCATTATGGTGGCTGCCATCTAAAGAAAGAGGGAGAGAGAAACTGTAGCAAAATATCTGGAAAGATTGCTAGAGATGCAAAAGCATCATCAGAAGTAAACAGAGTCATCAAAAACAAATATAACAAACCAAAAATTCATTTTCCAGCTTCCAGGAAAAAAATAACTATTTCTTGGCGTATTAAAATTGTTTTCTTGCCACTATATGGACTCCACCAGAACTTACAGACAAAAGTACATCATCAGATAGACTCACACATACACATTATCTCCAGGGGTTCAGGAAACAGTGAGAGAAAGACAATGGTGTTCTGGAGAGTGACCAGAGTACCCACAGTTGGTGAGGCCACCAATTGCTCCTGGACCTCCTTCCCATATACTGATCACATGGCCACACTTCTCATCAGGAGCCTTCCCCCCGCAAAGTGAGGGTGGGGCAGAGACAAGAATAAACATAATTTTTTTAATTTCTATTTTATAAACTGCTTGTTCATTTTCTTCACCCATCTTTTTCTAAGGAGAAATATGCCTTTTTCTTACTAAGTTATCAAAGTTTATATATATACATATATAAATGGTTTTAGAAATTATCCCTTAGATTGCACAGCATGATTGATGTAGTTGGTCTCAATGACTTGTACATGTGAAAAATGTTGAATTAGCAAATGTTGCGTTATCTATATTTTTATAACAATAAAAAATTACAGCAGGAGAAAAAAAAATTATCCCTTAGAGAGTGACACCTGTTGCAAATATTTTTCTCAGTTTGTATTTCATCTATTTTTTTCTCTTTATATTGCTTTTTTTTTTTTTTTTTTTTTGCTTTGAACAGATAATACGTTTACATAGTTCAAAAACTGGAGCAATGTAGTCACACTATGAATTAAGATGTTGCATTCCCACACCTGTCCTTGTCTGCCCCACTTCTACCTCCTCATGGATTACCACATTCATCATTTCTTGTGTGTCCTTCCAGTAAACACAACTTTTTTTAATGTCCAATATTTCCATAATACAGAAGGCAAATTAAGAGAATAAATTTCAAAAAGAGATTTAGTTTTCTCTTCAGTCTAGTCAGTACTGCAGAAATGTCTCATTCAAATCCTATTAATCTAGAGTAAATCAGATATGTTAGAAATATTCCATATTATTATGGAATAAAAAAGTTTAAAATATCCTCTTCCTATGCAAATTTTAGAACTTAGTCAATTTTCCCATATTAGGACAGAAAATTTTAAGGATTCACTCCACATGATTATAATCTTAAAGTTTGCTCTTAATGAGTTTACAAGCTTCAATAACTCGGCACATCCTGAATTAAAACTGTAGTTTGTATTTATACCTCACTTTATAAATACATACTTAAAGAACTATACTAACGCTTATTTAAAATATTCTACAATTCAGACTTTTAAAATTAGGTCTAACTGGCCTCTTCCCTCACAAACTGTCAGTCAGAAAGGCTTTAATTTAATTGAGTACAAGCCAGTAGGTTGAAGTGAATTTATCTGCCTTCATAATTACAAAGCGCACATTATCACATATTCACTGTGATCTTTTCAAATGCTTTTTTCTATATATTTTTACATTGAAACATAATGGTAATATATTTTTTGACCTTAAGGACATGTATTGTTTCCTTGCTGTGATTTTTTTCTTCCTAAAATGATGTTGCAAAAAGTTACTTAGTAGCAAAACATTAACCAGAATAATGGTTTATTTTTAAATAAGTTGAAAATACTTCTAGGCAACTAAGTCCTTCACACTGTTCCCCAGTTTTGTTTTCATGACCAATGAGCAAAAGGATAAAAAGAACTAAGTATGAATTACATTATTCTACATGCAAGTACCTCTCTGATCTTACAGCTGAGTTTAATAGTCAAAGGTCACAGAAAAGGCAGTAGTTTGTATTAGATAAACGAAAAAACCAAAACCGTTGCCATCTAGTCGATTCCAACTCAGAGAGACCCTACAGGACAGAGCAGAACTGCCCCACAGGGTTTCCAAGGAGCAGCTGGTGGATTCAAACTGCTGACCTTTTGGTTAGCAGACAAGCTCTTAAATACTACACCACCCATTAAGAACCCATTGCCGTCGAGTCAATTCCAACTCATAGTCCATATAGGACAGAGTAGAACTGCCCCCTACAGTTCCCAAGGAGCACCTGGTGGATTTGAACTACCAACCTGTCGGTTAGCAGCCATAGCTCTTAACCACTACACCACCAGGGTTTCCACTATGCCACCAGGGCTCCTTATGTTAGATCCAGAGGGCTAAATTCAGTACAATAGTGGGGAAACTTTACTGTGGCTAAATAAAAATTAAAAATAAATATTTGAATTCACTATATAAAAACCTTCAGAGTATATTAATTTTTCACATTGAATCATATTTCAATTTTTTTTACCAACATGCTTAATTTTACCATTTTTATATAATTCCCAGAATATGGCATTATTGAAAGATCAATATACTTCACAGACTTTCTTACAATGACAATGTAAAATCAGATTCTTAAAATATCACATAAATTCTCTTTAGTGATTTACTCAACCCATGTCTATAATAAGAATCCCCCCTTCTTATTATCACTTAAAATCAGCATTCTCGAACTATGCACCTTTGTAGCTAAAAAAGCATATCAATGACAGTCTTTTCCAAATTTACAATTAAAAATGTAATTAACTGATAAAATTTTCTTAATTTTAAGCTTTTTCTCCTTTAAACTTAAGCAAAAACAAAACACACTCTTTGGCACCTGTTACTGCTTAACGGTTTATCTGCTGTAAACCAGCAACATACGACCAAAAGAATAAACAAGTCACAAATTAATGTTAATGGGAAATTCCAGAAACAGGTAAATGGGCTTAGTTTGAAAGAGTACCCAAGCTCACTCTTGTACTTGAGAGGAAAAATTACAAACTGAAGAAGGCAAGTGCAAAGATGTTTTGTTTGGCCCATAAAGAGTTTTATAAAAATCTAAACTGGTTGCCAGCATTTACAAATTGGGAGATTCAATGTAAAATTTCAGATGTCCTCCTTGTCTTGAAAAAAATTAGGAGTTCTGATAGTAAGGGTATAGTGGGTCCCCACCTCATCTCCCCATCCCTCTTCCTATCAGGCAACAATGGCTTAAACTAAGTGTCAAGCACACCCTTCAAGTGCAGCAAGTATTCTGTCCTGTCCCACCCTGCCCCTTCCCCCAATCCATTCATTTGTTACCCTCCAGGCCTTGGAGACTTTGAGGCTTGTGGCCTCTTGCTTTAGAGAAATTAAATCCAATTGTTGTTGTTAGCCGCCATTGAGTTGGCCCCTGACTCATGGCAACCCCAGGCACAATGGGATCTGACTGTTGTGACCCACAGAGTTTTCATTGGCTGATTTCCTGAAATAGAGAGCCAGGCCTTTCTTCCTAGTCTGTCTTAGTCTGGAAGCTCCACTGAAACCTGTTCAACATCATAGCAACACACAAGCCTCCACTGACAGATGGCTAGTGGTTAAACTTGCAGTGCATTGGCTGAGAATTGAACCCAGATGTTCTGCGTGGAAGGCAAGAATTCTAATACTGAGCCACCACTGCTCTCTAAATCCAATTAAGGAACTTAAATTTAAAAGAAATATTCCCCCCTTCATTGTTATGGATTGATTTTTGTCCCCCCAAAATTTTTGTTGGAATTCTAACCTTTTTCCTACGGATGTAATCAGGTTTGGAAATAGGGTTTTCTTTGTTATGTTACTGAGGCCATATCAATGTAGGGTGTGTCCTAAACCTAATCACTTCTGAGTTACAAAAAGAGCAGATTAGACACAGACGTCAGCACATACTGGGAAGACAAATGACATGTGAGGATTGCTAAGAAACCAAAGAACACCCAGTGCCAGCAAGGAAGGAATCAAAACAGTCAAGACCCTTGTTTGTACTTTTAGCCTCCAGAACTGTGAAAAATAAATTTTCATTCTTTAAAGTCACCTATTTATGGTATTTGTGTTACAGCAGATGCGGAAACTAAGACACTCACAAATATAATTGTTCCCAAATTGTAGGATGAAATAAGATGTGTCACTATTTTATGTTGTTCTACAAAGAGTACCATGATCCTCAGCTTCTCTGCCATCTGGATAAATTCGTAAACCACAGTCTTAAACAAAAGCACTTAAAATTTCATCATCTACACTAACCATTAACTAACTAGGAGGCAAATTTATATTTTTCACTTACCTGTCCAATTCCAAGAACAATTGGTGACGGAAAACTACAAGAAACATAGAAAAACAAATAATTTTAGCAACTTATAAAAATTTGAAGACAGTCATGATACATAAGGGCATGGGTTATTGAAAGGTCTTAGACTTTTTTTCAGTCTTAGACAATGAAAATTTAACATCAAATTTATTCATTTTTCATTTGTTCATTTATTTTTTATTTTGTAAAGTTATCATTGCTAAACTTGGCAAGTTTCTATTTCCCTGTAAGGCAGACTGTGGATTGGCCCAGTTCAACCCCATGGAACAAAAGGAGGCAGCTGCAGGTGGAAGAGCAGGTTCAGGATAGATAGCTGGCTTCCAGATAAAAGGAGCAGTTGTGGAGACAAAACTTTTCTCTTTCTCATGGTTTGAGCACAGCCATGATGTCTGGAGTTTTCTACCGAAGCCATCTTGCTTCCATGAGGCAACAAGCACAAGAAAGAGCAGTAATCAACAGTGCAAGATTTCTGTACAGCGTCAGTAAGCAACTAAAACACCTCTCCGCAGGCTTTTTGTCCTATGATAAAAATAAACCTGTGTTTTAGGCACTGTTTTATACAAATGAGGCAAAGATGACCTCTGTATATTGATCTCACGTAGTTTGTAGTTTACTTCTTTACAGCAAGCTGAGGCCCATTAGCCCAAAAAAAACCTACTGGCGCCAAACTCAAATTTGTATACATCCAACTGTTTTTAAAATAGCCCAAATAAGCAGAGATTCAGTCACTTAGAGCCTGCCTGCTTTACATACCTCGCAAAACTGCACCCAACCTCAGCTAGCCATAGATAAGACACAACCCTGTTGCTTGGTAAAGCAGACGGTCTTCAAAGAAGAGGAAGACCCTCAACGAGATGGACTGACACAGTGGCTGCAACAACAAACTCAAACATAACAACTATTGTGAGGATGGTGCAGGACCAGGCAGTGTTTCCTTCTGTTGTACAGGGGATTGCTATGAGGCGGAATCCACAACCCTCAACTGGGAGAAAATTTTTAAAAATCATATATCTCATAAGGGAATTGTATTCAGCACATAAAAAGAACTCTTACAACTCAGTAAGGAAAAGACAAATAACCCAATTTAAAAATGAGAAAGGGTTTGAGATGACATTTCCCAAAGAAGATACGCAAATGGCCCTAAAGGATGTCAGACTTGTTTAAATATTGTGGATACAGAGAGAGTCAGTAGCTGTTTCTTGACAGTGTCAGGACTGAAGCCGCCTGCTTACTAAATAATTTTCAGGAATTTAACCAAGATGGCAGAGCCTTTTAATATGTGAGGGGTAATAGCCCTTCCCCTTTTTGTGAGCTCCTTTGTGAGTATGTGTATGTCCTAAATGAGTATGTCAAATAAATCTCCTCAAAGGAGGATGTCGTCAATGTAATGTCATACCTGTGCTACTGGAGAAAGTTGGATGTGGTTAAGATCTTGCCTGCAAAGATTGTGTACAATGGGAAGGCTGCTGAGATATCCCATGAGTAATCAGGCCAAGGCATATTATTTCCCTTTGAAGGTGAAGGCAAATTGAAGCTGAAAGGCTGTTGAAATAGACATTAAAAACAACATATGATCCAAATCTATGACTCCAAAGTTTTTACCAGTTACTGATTAGATAGTGAGCAATTTCAGAAATATTGAGTATAATATCGGGCCTTAATGAGTGAGACTGCAGCATTAAGGTTGAAATAATCCATCATGAGGTGTCATTTATTCTTTTCAGGTTTAAAAACCAAAACTGGGCTGTTGGATGGAGAAACAGTAGGGATAATCACCCCTTCTCTAAATAGGGTCTTACTGTTGTTGTTAGGTGCCATCAAGTTGGTTCCGACTCATAGCGACCTTATGTACAACAGAACGAAACACTGCCTGGTCCTCAGACATCCTCACAATCGTTACTATGCTTGAGCCCATTGTTGAAGCCACTGTGTCAATACATCTCATTGAGGGTCTTCTTCTTTTTTACTGACCCTCTGCTTTACCAGGCATGACGTCCTTCTCCAGGGACTGGTCCCGCCTGATAACATGCTTCCAAAGTATGTGAGTCAAAGTCTTGTCGCCATCCTTGCTTCTAAGGAGCATTCTGACTACACTTCTTCCAAGACAGATCTGTTCATTCTTCTGGTAGTCCATGATTTATTCAAGATTCTTCACTAACACCATAATTCAAAGGCCTTCAGTCTTCTTCAGTCTTCCTTATTCATAGTCCAGCTTTTGCTTGCATTATGAAGTGACTGAAAATACCATGGCTTGGGTCAGGCACACCTTCATCCTCAAGGTGACATCTTTGCCTTGAAGGCCCTATTTTAATTTGCATTGAGATGTATTAACTATTTTAAGTCGGGGTGAGGAGAGAGGTCTATAAGGTCCCTTTTTGTTAAGTTAATTGTTAAGTGCCAAAGAGGTCATGGATTGGTAACTCAATATTGTAGTGAGGTCATTACCCCTGAAATGATCTAGAGTCATAGAGTCATACAGTCTCAATAAAAATACCAGCAGGTATTCTGTGGAAACCAACAAGCTGATTCTCATATTAAATGGAAAAGCAAAGAGCAAAAATTAGCCAAGACAATCTTGAAGAACAAAGTTGGAGGAATGACTCTACTGGGTATCAGAATTCATTTTAAACAAATGAGACAATATGATATTTGCCCAGTGACAGTCCAATAGGACAAAGACACAGAATAGAAAATTGGGACAGATACACAACTATAAGGACACCTGATTTATGACAAAAGTGACTCTGCAGAGCAGTGAAGAAAAGATGGTATTTCAAGAAATGGTGCCGGGTAATTTGGATATAGAATCCCAACCCCTATCTCACACCATATTTAGCAAGGCAGCACATCACCTCAACCAGCTCATCCATCACCCAACCCTGTGCTGGCTCTCGGTCACTCTCTCAAAACCAAAACACCAAACCCACTGCTGTCGAGTCAATTCCGACTTAAAGTGACCCTATAGGACAGAGTAGAATTGCCCCATAGGATTTCCAAGGAGCGGCCGGTGGATTTGAAATGCCAATCTTTTGGTTAACAGCCGAACTCTTAACCACTATGCCACTAGGGTTTCCAGTCATTCTCTCAGACCAGTAAAAAGTAGAAATATCACAAAAAACTCAGCCCTCAGTTTGTAAATCAGAGGGGAAAACACATCTACCTCAGAGAGGGTAAGAAGAAAAAAAAGCACCAACCTACCCTATCAGAACAAATAGAATAAATGTCTGGGCAGTACCACCATGAGAATAAAATTAACTCTAGCAGATGCTGGGTTATGTCTCCCAGATATCCGCTTCTGGAAGCACTCATTCCCCAGCTGCTGACAGTGTCCTCAGCTGAAGAAGACTGCTTCTCCAATATCACACCACCTCCCTGAGAACAGCTTGCATTCCAATGGCTAGTCTGCGCGGTGTTACAAAGGCCAGGGCCCCTGCCCTCAATTCGGGACAACTCTGTAGAGCCATCCCAGCTCCAGAGCCCCTGGGCTCAGGCCTTTGTTGTTACTGCATCACAGCCCAACTTCTCCCTCTGCCTAATCCTGCTTCCCTCACTCCCCCACAGGAGTTGATCCCAAGAACACACCCCAACACAATTCCTACACACAAATCTCATTTCACAGCCTGCTTCCCAGAGACTACAACCTACAACGTTAAGCAAAACAAGACAACAATAAAACAAAAAAAAACAAACCTGTTGCCATTGAGTCAATTTCAACTTATAGCGACTCTATAGGACAGAGTAGAACTGCCCCACACGGTTTCCAAGGAGTGGCTGGTGGATTTGAACTGCCAACCTTTTGGCAGCCAAGCTCTTAACCACTACTCCACCAGGGCTCCAGACAACAATATAAAAATAAACAATAAATGGCAACAACAACACCTTACAGAAGATAGACGAAAAGGCCAGCCTAGGAGAAAATATAACACACGGAAGAGAAGGACTTCTTCATAATTGTTTAAGCCTACAGAACACTTTAATAAGAGTAAAACAAGAGTTCAACATTGAGACAATGAAAGTAAAATGAGATGAAAACCAGTTAAGGAACAAAATAAAATAAAACTGCCATTTGAATAAATACATTTAGAAACAACAAGGAACGAAATAGACAGTGTAGAAAACTGATTTTGCAACTTTGGGGTAATCATAGTGATTGCAGCAGAAAAAGACAAACTAAAGCTACTAGGCTCTAAAAGATTAACAGATATGGAAGAGAGATAAACAACACTGTATAAGACTAATGGCTATGCCTGATGTGAACTCAATGGAGAGAGAAGAAGATGGATTCAAAAGTAAGTTTCTCTGACATGGGGAAAAGAAAATATTGAATCTTAAGATGTAAAAGCACATTGTTAGAGAAATATCTGTTAAAGAATGCTCAACAAGATTAATACAGCCGCCATGATCTCTCTGTTAAAAATAAAAACAAAAACCTATCTGACAATGGAATCCCATCAGTTAGGAGGTGTCTTAGTTATCTAGAGCTGCTATAACAGAAATAGCACAAGTGGATGGCTTTAACAAACAGAAATTTATTTTCTCACAGTTTGTTGTTGTTGTTATTAGGTGCCATTGAGCCAGTTCCGACTCATAGCGACCCTATGTACAACAGAATGAAATACTGCCTGGTCCTGCACCATCCTCACAATTGTGATACTTGAGCCCATTACTGCAGCCACTGTGTCAATCCATCTCGTTGAGGATCTTCCTCTTTTTTGCTGCCCCTCTACTTTACCACGCATGATGTCCTTCTCCAGGGACTCTCATGGTTGAGGAGGCTAGAAGTCTGAATTCAGGGTGTCAGCTCTAAGAGAAGACTTTCTCTCTCTGTTGGCTCTAGGGGAAGGTCCAGCTTGTTTCCTGGTTCCTTGGAGACCTCCATGTGGCTTGGCATCAATCTTCCCCCATCTCTCCTTCTCTTGACTGCTTAATCTTCTTTACATCTCAAAAGAGATTTAAGACATACCTACACTAATCTTGTCTCATTAACATAACAAAGACAACTCATTCCCAAATGTGATTATAACCACAGGCATAGAGGTTAGGATTTACAATACATATTTTGGGGGGACACAACTCAATCCATAACAGTAGGTAAATCAAAATAATAACCTTGGGAATGGAGAATTTGTGGTAAAAGGGCTGTGGCTGATCACTGTATCCATTTAGATCTTGTATCAACTATGGGATCATAATTACACAACAGTATGTTATGGGGGCATTGGTGGTACAGTAGTGGAATTCTCGTCTTCCATGTAAGAGACTCAGGTTCGATTCCCAGACAATTCACCTTATGCATAGTAGCCACCACCAGTCTGTCAGTGGAGATTTGGGTGTTTCTACGATGCTCAACAGGTTTCAGCGGATCTTCCAGACTAAGATGGTCTAGGAAGAAAGGCCTGGCTATCTACTTCAGAAAATAAGCCAATATAAACCCTATGGATCATGACGATCCAATCCCCAACTGATGATGGGGATGGCACAGGACCAGGCAGCATTTCATTTCGTTGTCCACAGGATTACCATGACTCAGGGACCAACTCGATGACAGCTAACAACAACAACCAATGTTATGTTATAGAACAAGATGTGGAGTGAAGGAAAATGGGGAGCAGTTTACAAGAGTCCTCATCTTTCATGGCAGGGAGGCCATACTAGGCAAAATGGAAAAATGGGTTCAAAAAATAAACATAATAATTTCCACTTCTCAATGTTTTTCATGACCTCTTAATCTTAAAGGGATCTTTAAGAAATATTCTTGTAGTGAAGAAACATATACTTGAAAGTCAACAACTCTTTCATTTGAACTCCAATTCTGCTTTCTTCCATTCAGTTCAGTTAAAATTAAATTTTATATGTACATGCAACTTGCCATCCTCACCTTAAAAATACCTTCCAACTCGGCCAGCAGGGCTAATGGTGAAACAACCCGATATGATGCAATATAAAGTTCACAGGGACAGCTATGAAGTAATCTTGCCAGAAATGTTTAATCTGGATATAATCAAGACTTAAGACCTAACTTGCAGTTAGGAGATAGAGAGAAAATAATTTCTGGAAGACTACAAAGAATAAATTAGACAAATCTAAAATGTTGGACTTTATACAAAACAACTGGCCCAGGCTTTTCAAAAAGTCAGTATCATAGATAGGGGGTGAGACAGAGGGACTATTCTAGATTAAAGTAAGCTAAAAGACGTAACTATACGCATTGCATCTTGATCAAATCCTCATTAAAAACATTAAAAACCATAAAAATATCTTGGGGACAATTGAGATAATTATGAATTCACTATTAAATTATTTTAGAAAGTTACTGTTAAGTTTCTTAAGAGCAACAATAGTGTCATGTAGGAGAATGTCTATATTTGAGGAGAGGATGGTGAAGTATTTCAGAGCACAGTATCAAGATGTTTGCAACTTACTTTTAATGATTCAGAAAAAAAAAACAAATACAGCAAAATGTTAACAACTGTTGTATCTCTATGGTATGTATACGAGTGTTTATTTACTATTCTTTCCATTTCTCTCTATGCTTGAAATTTTTCATAATAAAAACTTGGGGAGGGAATTCTAGGTGATCTCAAAAAATTTTGTTCTGCATCCCACTTTGGTGAGTGGTGTCTGGGATCTTAAAAGCTAGCCAGCAGCCCTCTAAGATGCATCAACTGGTCCCAACCACCTGCAGTAAAGGAGAATGAAGAACACCAAAGACACAAGGAAGTAGTAGCCCAAGAGACAGAAACGGCCACATAAACCTGAGACTTTATCAGCCTGAGACCAGAAGAACTAGATGGTGCCCAGCTACCAGCAAAGACTACCCTGACAGGGAACACAACA